CAAGGCTGCTGATTGCATTGCTAAATCCAATGCTCAGATGGTATTCTACCTGACTATCAGCAAGGGGAATTGAGCACTATGCCTTCCTTTAAGGAAGTGCTGGGTTATATCAGTCTCCTTTCCAGTGACCTCACCAAGAGCTACTCTTCTGTCCTTTTTTTGTTTCTTTTTTGTATCAACTCCCAGAGTGTCCATTACCAGCTAGCTGTTCCATGGGAGAAAGATGAGGCTTTCTGCTCCCCTAAAGATTTACAGCCTCGGAAATCCTACATAGGGTTGGTATGAGTCAGAACTGAATCCAGGGTACAGAAACACAACCAGAGTGTCTCTGAGTTCAGTTCTTGCACTTATTTTCTTTCTCTTCTGATCTCCTGCAGTTTAATGCCTTTATATACTATCCCTGTATGCAAACTCAAAATTTTATGTCTCCTGTTCACAGCACTTTTCTGAACCCTGGATTGTACATTCAACTCGACATTTTTTATTACATGTTTAATTGGCATTTCAAGGTTTAACCTGTTCAAAATCAACTCCTGATTTTATTCCTACCAAATTTGTTCCCCAGTTCTCCCCATTTCAGTAAATGGTAAATTCATTCCTGCAGCATACCAGATGGAAATCTTAGGAGTCATTATTGAGTTCTAAATTTCTCTCACACTTCTATCAAAGAATCCCTCAATTCTGACAACTATCTTATTATGTAATAACTACAAGTATCTATTTAACACCTAGGAATGTTAAGACAATATAATGAGAAATCTTGGAAGGCTGCTATTAAGCAAATATATTATCACTTTTATACAATTTCTATAATTCTTAAAGCAAATAGAATTTCATAAAACATGTTTCAAAAGTGAAAGTAAAATGATACCAAGAATTATAATTGTAATTTAATAAACAAACACTTAAGTTTAATAAAGCTGGAACCAATTTGACGGCATGTGACCATTTTTATTATAATACTTGGAATGTACATTCCAATTAGCCAAATGAGTTCCATAAATGATAACGGAAACTGGCTGTTTAATAATTAAGCCACTGGGGGATGAGAAAAGAAACACATTAATTATCTTTTGGGCAAAAACAAATGAAATAAAGTTTTGTGAAATAACTATATAATTTTAAACTTATAAAAATGTTTAAGTACAGTACAAGCTACCCACAAATGCCTTTTGTTGTTGCTGTTACTACATGCCCTTACTGAGTAGCTTCTGACTCATAGTGACCCTGAATAGGGTTTCTGAGGCTGTAAATGTGTGCGACACCAGAAACCCTTGTCTACCTCCCACAGAATGGCTAGTGGACCCTAACTGCTGAACATGTAATCTGTAGTCCACTGTTTAGCCTATAGAGCCACTGTGTTCCCCCCTCAACTGTTTATGCTGTAGGATCAGCTCTGGACTTCCAACCACAAGGTAGACAGTTCAAACCTACTAGCTGCTCCTTGGAAACCCTGCACAGGGTCGCTATGAATTGTAACTGACTAAGTGCACTTAACAGTATTTGTTTTATGCTTGGACATCATACTTGGTAAAGTGGAGAGTCAGCAAAATAGAGGGAGACCCCAATGAGAAGAATTGACACAGTGGAAGCGGCAATGGGCTCAAATGTAAGAACGACTGTGAGGACAGCGCAGGACGGGGCAGGGATTCATTCTGTTGTGCCTAGGGTTGCTGTGAGTCACAGTGGACTCGATGGCACCTAACAACAACATATTTGTTAGGGGAGTCCTGCTGGACTGCTGACCGTAAGTTAGTGGTTCAAAGCCACCAGCCACTCCTTGGAAACATTATATTCTTGTTGTTCAGTGCCATTGAGTTGGGTCTAACTCATAGTGACCCAGTAGAGGGTTTCTGAGGAACAGCTGGTTGAGTTTGAACTGCAGTCCCCTGAGAGCAGCTCTGTAAGGATGAAGATTCACCTCTGATGAAGTGAAGACGGTGGTGCATTCCTGGCTCACAGCTCAGCCTAAAACATGTTATAATAAGGGAATACGAAAGTTTGTTGACAGATGGACACAATGTATTACTGAAAAGCCAGGAGATTATGTTGAAATATAATGTATTTATCTTTTCGAAAAGTTGCTTAAAATAAATTCTACAACCAGAGTGCGGATAATTTTTGACACATCCTCGAATATCTAAAATTTATAAACGAAAGTCTATCAAAATATTAGCCATAATTAGAGTTATAAGACACTTTGTAGGATAAGCACTGGACTACAAGGTCAATTTGAACCACAAGGTCAGAAGTTCAAACTCACCAGTCACCCCTTGGAAACCCTACACAGGGTCCCTATGAGTCAGAACCAACTTGACGGCACTTTAACAACAGCAACATAGTAAAAAATAAAATGTACTTTATGTTCACATTTTAAAATATATATTCTAGTGACCCTCTTTTACCTTGAACCACAAGGTCGGTGGTTCAAACTCACCAGCCACTTCTTGGAAACCCTATACAGACAGGGTTGCTATGAGTAAGAACCAACTCAATGGCACTTAACAACAACAACAACAATAATAATAATGCTAATTGTTTATATATCTCCAAGTTTAATTAAATATTGAAGAGTCTAGGTATTATGTAAGGAACAGTTTAAAAGAGTTAAATATGTACCCCTAAACAAAGAATGGAGACCTGGTGAGGTGCTATGGGATAAAAAGCATTGGCCCTCAAGGGCAGTTTGAATCACAAAGTCAATGGTTCAAATGCACTAGCTGCTCCTCAGAAATCATATACAGGATCACTATGAGTTGGAACCAACTTGACGGCACTTAACAACAGAAATTGGTAGCTAAAAAATGGGATGGTTGAAGAGTAAAGAAAATAGACCTTATTAGTTTTGTATAATGATGAATAATGACATGAAATTAAAAGGGTGAAAAAAAAATCAAGCCAAGAAAATGCTGTGAGTGACTAAGACCTAATACATTTTTTCAGAGTTAGGAAAGAAGTTCTGTTTAAAGAGTCTGAACATCATTTCCATGAACAGACAGATGAAAAACTCACTATACGAACTTGTGAAATATCAATTAACGATTTTTTACTCTAAGATTTCAGTCAGTGTACAAATCTATACTTAATGCCAAATATTATGTAAGTGTAGACTAAGACCGACTTTTACCTTTAAGAACTTGGAGTACAATTTAATCCAAAATTAAGAAAAAGTCAATATATTCAAAGTGTAATGTTTATACATTTTAACACTCTAACCTCTTAGAAAATCTGGGGTGGTTTTCAGTGATCTCAATGATTAGGGAATGCCAGAGTCGTTATATGTAAAAGGAACAGAGATACATGCATACCTCGAAGATGTTGTGGGCTCAGTTCCAGGCCACCAAAATACAGTAGTCACACAATTCTGTGGATTTCCAGTGTATTTAAGTTATGTTTACACTCTCACATAGTCTATTAAGTGAGCAATAATAACATTATGAAGAAGTTTCAAATATTGTGAGAATTACCAAAATGTGTCATAGAGGCTTGTAGTGAGCATATGCCATTGAAATAGACAGTGATGGTAGACTTGCTAGACACAGGGTTGCCACAAACCTTCAATTGGTTAAAAAAAAAGAAAAAAAGAAAAAACCCCAGAGTATCTGCAATGCGCAATAAAGAAAAGACAATAAAACGTGGTATGTCTGTGCTTGGTATCCGGAAGTAAAGGGACAGCTACACATAATAAGAAAAAATGTCCCTCAGTCTATGCAATGTTCATATAGGTGAAAACACTGCTTAAAGTTATCAAACCTCAAAGTTTTCACTTCGTTTATAAAAACATAGAGAACTTTTTGCACAGTTTCAGTATGTACTAATTTCAGGATATAAACAGTTCATAACAAGAAGGTACTTTCTTTGATTTGGGACTTTACTATGAGCTGCTCACCATTTGGGAAAAAAATCCTACTACAGAAAGCAATGCTTCTTGTGGTATCTGAATCTCCAGCACAATACACTTGCATCAGTCTCTCTAGATGAACTCTTGTCCTCTCAGAAGACAATTTTTTTCTCATGACACTGGTAGTTGTTGTTAGGTACCACTGAGTTGATTTCAACTCCTAGCAACCCAGGTGAGAGAGCAGGACTTTACCACAGGGTTTTCTTGGCTCCTGGTGTGGTGCTGTGGGTTAATACTCCGGACGGCAAAGTTAGTTTGAACCACAAAGTCGGCAGTTCAAGCTCACCAGCTGCTCTCAGGAAACCCTATACAGGGTCACTATGGGTTGGAACCCACTAACAACAACAACAACAACAACAACAACTTTTACAGAGGCCTGTCACAGTGACAACACTTACCTCATAGCAATACATTTGCCTCTTAGCCTTAAACACTCATGTATAACATATGTGCACCCAGTTAGCTTACATTGTTATGGAAAGTCAACTGAAAAACGAACATAAAATATCTTGTAAATTAGCAACTAATCTACAAATATGATCTAATATCTATAAAAAATAGAAACATCATAAATAATAATACTTCTTAAAAAAAATGAATTAGGAAAAGTAAGTCTTGAAATGTCTACTTCCAGTATGGTTATCAAACAATAGTCTAGAAATTGAACAGCCTACACAAATGGCAATGTCTGAACAATTAATAAAATTAATATCAACCCATGCCACACAAAATACTCACAAAATGGATGTAAAGAACTTAGTAAAAACATAAATCATACTCTGAAAACTATGAGATCATGTTTTTACTTTTTAAATGAGGCTTCTGATTAAGTGCTGTTGAGTCGGTTCCAACTCACAGTGACCTTACATAGGGTTTCCAAGGAGTGGATGGTGGGTCTTAACTATGAACCTTGTAGTTACCAGTCTAGTTCTTACCTGACAACGCTACAACACTAGGACTACTAGATAAGTTTAAATTACATTTGTGACTTGCAGCTCTAACGGACACATTGCTCTAACTAAACAATGTAGTACCAAAACTGCAAATTAGCAACGTTACTGATCTTCAGCTAATAAGACAATAAAGTATGCATACTCACTTCATCAGTGAGTTCTCCAAATACTGTTATGACATCTATTAAAAGACTTGCAGTATAGAAGGACTTGATCATGTTTCTGAAACAGAAAAAAGAGAAGGTAAACATTAAAAGGTAGAATCAGTTACAAAACTATCAAAAAAGATTCTATTGTTTATAAAAAAAGATTCCAAAAGTAATTTAAAAAATACAATCAGATTCAAGAACACAATGAAACTCCTTTTATATCCTGCTAACAGGGGAAAGTGGAGTCCTGGTGTGGCGCCGTGGGTTAATGCGCCATGCTGCAAAGCCGTTTGAACTGCAGGGTCGGCAATTTAAGTTCACCAGCTGCTCCTCGGAAACCCTCTACAGGGTCGCTATGGGTCGGAAGCGACTCAGGGGCACTTAACAACAACAACAGGGGAAAGTAACAACACCCTCTTTAAAAGTAAATATACTACCAAAACACCAAAATTCTGAGTCATCACGATTTTGTATACGGTTTTCCAGGCTTTAAACCTCTATGGAAGCAGAAAGTCTAATTTTTCTCAGAGTAGCAGCTAATGGGTTTGAACTCTCACCTTGTGGGTAGCACTCCAGTGTTTATCCTACAGCACCACAAGTGTTTATTGTATGCTTCTGAGTTTAGAAAATGCAATTATTGTATTCACATCAAGCCATAATGCATATCTTTGCATTTAACTATTGTAAAGATGAAAATCACTTGAATTAATTGATGTGAAAGTACAAATCATTGAAGGAGGCTGTGCTTTTGTAAGGTTGGTCTTTCAAACCCACCAGCTGCTCCCTGGAAACCCTACACAGGGTGGCGATGAGTCCGTTTCAATTCAACAGCACTTAGCAATGAGTTTACTAATGTCAAAGTGGCTAATTTAGAGTTCACTTACAGAGAAAATAAATGTCTCGGGTATTTCGTCATTTAGTTATTTTCTCTAAAAAGAATGGATCACACTTGTAACTACTAAATCACTCTGAGGTACAAGTAATTCTGTAAAAATTGTATCTAAATTTTAATCTTTAGAAAGTCTGAAAGTGTTTTATAGAAAATGGGGCCACAATTAATCATATAGTAACTGAATTTATAATTATTATTTTCCTTTTTACTCACTTATGAAATCGCCCAGCACGATCTTCATTATCTGCATACAAAAACATTTTCAAAGCATAATTTTCCAAATGGGCACAACCAACTATTTCTTGAGTAACAGCTTCATTATCACCCAACTGTTTTTTAAGCTGAAATAAAATCAGAGACAAGGGTTATGTTTTCAGACTGAGAGAGCTATCTGCTAAGGCAGGGATATTCTTAATAATCATTTAAAATAAATTATTTTACATTCATTTCAGTAAAAGATGTGTTATTGAAATCTGGCAAAAAGAAAGTTGCTCTGCTTAAGTCCAATGTATTTAAAACAAAATCCAATGTTTAAAGAACTTTGCAGAAACACAGTTAAGTAACTTGAAAGTATAATTTAGCTCAAATATATCTTAAATCAAATCACCACAACTTATAATTTGTCTGCAAATCTTGCATACAATAAAGTATTCTTAAAAACAGAAAACTGAATTCCTGTTTTTTATTCAAACTGACATACTAGAATGACTTGTATAAGATATTACTAAAAAGAAAAAGCCTCAGGATTTTTCATCAAATCAGCAATGTAAGTAACATGTTGATAAGTCAGTAAGGGAACTGCTGTGGTTTTCAGGTCCCACTGAAGTGGTGTCTACACATAAACCACCCAGTCAGTGTACAACGACAGCAGCCCCGCCCGGTTCTGCACCATCGTCCCCATCTCCCTATGCTTGAGCCCAATGCTGTAGCCACCATTATCAATCCATCTGCTGGAGGGTCTTTCTCTTTTTCACTGACCCTTGACTTTGATAGGAATGATATTCTTCTCCAGCAACTGAACTGTTCCAAAGTTTTGTCACCCTTGGTTCTAAGGGAGCATTCTGGCTGCACTTCTTCCAACATAGATTTGTTTGTTCTTCTGCCAATGCAGCGTATATTGAATATATTTTTCACCAATACCACAGAGCAGAGTAATCAATTTTTCTTTGATCCTCCGTATTCATTTCGCAGCTTTTACATGAATGTTGTTGTTGTTTTGGTTAAGTGTTGTCGAGTGGATTACTACCCATAAAGACCCTGTATAGGGTTTCCAAGGAGCAGCTGGTGAGCTTGAACCATCGACCTTGAAGTTCAAACGACTTTGCAGTCTGACGCATTAGCCCACAGCGCCACACCAGGCTGAATGTTAGTGAATGTTAGGTCGCTAGAAATAGCGTGGCTGGGGTCACAAGCATCTTAGCCCTCAAGATGACATCCTTTGCTTTTAACACTTTTGCATAACAGAGACCTTTTGTAGCACATTTTCCCAATGAAACATGTCCTCTGATTTCTTAACCGTTGCTTCCATGGTCATTGATTGTAGAACCAAGTACAATGAAATCCTTGGCAACGTCAACTTTTTCTCCATTTATGGTGATATTATTTACTGGCCCAGTTGTGAAGATTTTTGTTTTCCTTATGCTGAGGTATAATCAATTAGTAAGCACTTCACACACCTCTTTGCTTTCAATAAGCAAAGTTTCATCAACTTATTGCAGGTTAGTCTTAGTTCAATCCCAATGCCACATTCTTCTTCACATGGTACAACTTCTCAGATTATTGCTCGGCAGATTGAGTAAGTATGATGAAATAACACAAACCTGGTGTACACCTGTCTGGATTATAAACCATACAGTAACTCCTTGTTCTGGAATGACTGCGTCTTGGTCTATGTACAGTTTTCACCAGGACACAATAAAGTCTTCAGGAATTCCCATTCATTGTAATGCCTTGCATAGTCACACGAGGGTCCAGCAAATACACTTTCATTTGTGATCCTCCCTCAAGTCTCCACTTCCACGTCTCAAAAACAGAGTTACTATTGTTGAGTACTGTCAAGTCAGTTCGGACTGATACCAACCCTGTATAGGGTTTTCGAGGAACAGCTGGTGGGTTTGAACCATCGTCTTGCGGTTGAAATCACCTTGCGGTCCACTGCTTATCCTACAGTGCCACACTTACCATTTTGGGGGGAGGTGGGAGTGGAGGCAGGAGGGAGGATGCGTCTCACAAATGATAAACTATTATCTTGCATCTATAAAGCAAAGTTAGACATGGAAGAACAGGCAGCTACGAGGGGCAGCTGAGTTTCTGTCAGATACCACCCATGCCTTTGGGTGGTTAACAGTAACAAATGACAAGGACCCTGAATCTGCAGGCTAGAGAGCTACACCAACTTAGCGAGCACACAATAACCCATGGGTGCCTGACATAGCCAGGCAGAGACGGCGGCTTGGGATAGGCTTTGACCAAATTTTACAACACTTACAAGATTCTAGCTTTACTAGTACAAATGCTTTACTTTAAAGTCTGTTTAAATATTGTCTCTTTGAAGCAAGATAATGCCACTGAGCCAACAAGTACTTAGGTTTCTCACTCTCCTGAGTAGTTCACATAACTAAATAAGCAAAAGTCCCAGCCTTAGAGGAGATGAAGAACAGACTTTAACTTGAGGGGCCCTGGTGGCACACTGGTTAAATACTTGGCTACTAACCAAAAGGTAGATGGTTCAAACCACCAGCAGTCTGCATCTGTGAATTTTATAGTCTTGGAAACCCTAAGGGGCAGCTGTGCTATGTGTTTGGATCTCCTAGATGGCAGTGGGTTTTGGGGTTTAGTCCCTAACTTTGTAAAAAAGAAAGAGGAGTGGGCACAGGCCACACAAGGTGGAGCTCTGATCACTGTGAAACTACAGTAGGCAGCATTGCCTTCCTGTCACAGTGACACCCAACGCAACCCACTCTACACTCCCGATGGCACTTCTGCAGCGCCCTGTGCATCACAGTTCCAGAAGATGACTGCATCTGTTGATTACCGTCCCACTCTTCCAGGGAGGGAACCATGGCTGGACCATAGAACCTGGGCTTGGGATCCAGAGGAGGAGGAACAGAGAGCAAGCAGTCAGCATCATTTTCTTGTTTGGCACTTTACTAAGAAACATTCTATCTATTTATCAGGAGCTGTTTAAGAATTCTTATACCAATCATCAAAGTCTTGGTGTGGCACTGTTGGATAATCACTAGACTGCAAACTGAAAGGTCACCGGTTCAAACCCACCAGCCACTCCTCAAAAACCGTATTCAGGGTTGCTATTAGTCAGAACTGACTTGATGGCACTTAACAACAACAACATATCAATCATTCATGTAACTGCTTGAGGGAAGGTTTCAAAAGACTTGTTACTTATGAGAGGACAACTCAAGAGCCACCTACAATAATATGGAACACAATACATGGGCATAAAAATATTTGAACTTAATTCATGCTTATAACTCCCTAGTGATAAATGTAAATTAAAACAAAAACAAAAATTGCACCTGATTTTTCCACAGCTATACTGATACTGCGTGGCACTGTGGGTTAATGCGCCAGACTGCAAAGCCACTTTAACTGCACGGTTGGCAGTTCAAGCTTACCAGCTGCTCCTCAGAAAGCCTACACAGGGTCGCTATGGGTCGGCATCAACTCGATGGCACTTAACAACAACAACAATATTGATACTGTATAAATGAAATAAATGACATATTGCATTAGGCTAATCTGCTGCCCAAGACCTTTTTAAAGTGCTGAAGAGCAAAGATGTCAGCTTGAGGACTAAGGCGCGCCTGACCCAAGCCATGGTATTTTCAATAACCTCATATGCATGCAAAAGCTGGACAGTGAATAAGGAAGACCATAGAAGAACTGAAGCTTCTGAGTTATGGTGTTGGAGAAGAATATTGAAAGTGCCATGGGCTGTCAAAAAAACCAATAGATCTGTTTTGGAAGAAGTGTAGCCAGAGTGCTCCTTGGAGGCCAAGACACCAAACTTAGTCTTTCATACTTTGGACATATTGTCAGAAGGGAGCAGTCGCTGGAGAAGGATATCATGTTTGGTAAGGTGGAGGGTCAGAGAAAAAGAGGAAGACCCCCAGGGAGATGGATTAGCCGAGTGGCAGCATCAATGGGCTCAAGCGTGGCAACAACTATAAAGTTGGCCCAGCACTGGGCAGTGTTTCCTTCTGTTGTACATAGGGTTGGTCACTGTGAGTTAGTACCGACTCAATGGGGCCTAACAACAATATCATGTATATTGCAGTCCTGGTGTGGTGCTGTGGGTTAATGCACCAGACTACATAGCTATTTGAACTGCAAGGTCGGCGGTTCAAACTCACCAGCTGTTTCTCAGAAACCCTATACAGGGTCACTATGGGTTGTAATCGACTCGAACGCACTTAAGAACAACAACAATCAATATTAAGTTTCCATGCATACCGACTTGATTGCACCTAACCTAACAACAACATACTGATACTGCTGATTGATGTCAAGAGAAGAAATAAAACCACAACACACATACACACAAATGAAATATAACAGCATTTTTATCAGAAAATACATCATTAACATTTAACTTACAGCTTCTAACTGATCCATTAGTTTCGATAAAAATTTACGACATTCAGGAGTTTTACTATCAATCTTCATTCCAGTCTGCACTGCATATAAGCGACCTATGAAGAAAAGAGAAAAAAAGATCATTTGAACAATTTCACTGAAATATCCTTTTAACAACTGAGTACTTGAAGTATGTTTTGCCTAGTGATTCTATCAGACACAGTAGAACTGCCTCATAGGGTTTCCAAGACTATAATCTTTACGGATGGGGTTGCTCCAAGACTATAAACTTATACACATGGGGTTGTTATGAGTTGGAACCAACTCAACAGTTACTGGTAGTAACTGGTGTGAATAATACAGAGAAGTATACATGCACATACACACACACGAGGGGGCTTCAAAAAGTTCTTGGAAAAATGTAATCAAAAGACAATGGAAGTTTTCTGTGATCTTTTGGAGGCAGACAAGAGTACACATACACAACTGAGCTTCAAAGTTCGTGGAAAAAGTGAAATTATTAGACAATAGGATTGCTCTGTGAACACTTTAAAACCCCTCATGTGTGTGAATCCAGAAACACACACACATGTATTACATGAGGGACTTCAAAAAGTTCACAGACAAATGGAACTAAAAGATAATGGAATTTTTTCATGAACTTCCAAAAGTTGTCTCATTCACAAACACTTACACAAAAACACTTGAGGGGATTTCAAAAAGTTTGTGGAATTTTTTCATGAACTTCTAAAAGTTGTCTCATTCATATACACTTATACAAAAACACATGAGGGGATTTCAAAAAGTTTGTGGAAAAATTCCATTATCTTTCAGTTTTGTTTTTCCACAAACTTTTGAAACGCCCTTGTATATACATATAGTTGTTGTTAAGTGCTAACAAATTGACTTTGACTGTAATCAACTGTAATGGTTAGGTTTTGTGTCACCTTGCCTAGGCCAGGATTTCCAGAAGTTTGGCACTGGGATGTGCTTATTTCCATTGTGATAGGACTGGATACAGGTGGAGTTAACTCTGTAAGCCTAGATAATACATTTCCTTCTCTCTCTCTCTCTCTATGAAGTGGGAATGTAACTTTTTCCCTAAAATGCAAAGTTGTGAACTCCATTCCCTTTCCATGTTTTAGTTTTCCCTTCACACTTAATTATATTCTATAATTTATCCAGTGTCTGTATATCCTAACTGGAACTTAAGCTACATTGTGACATGGAATTTAGTCTACGTAGGTTGCAGATGTATCCCTGGTATTTAGGGGTAGTACTTGGCACATTTACAGATCTTCAGTAAACATTTTCTGAACTCATCCAACCCCAAGAATTTAAATGCCATTTTTACTATTCACTAGTTTGACATACCAGGTTAGCTTGTGAGCTGCTGTGATTCTGGAAGCTACGCCAAGGGTACTTTAAATACCAGCAGGGTCCCCGTGGTGGACAGGTTTCAGATGAGCTTCCAGACAAAGACAGACTAGGAGTGACGAATACTTCTAAATATCTAGTCACTGAAAACCTTATGAATAGCAGAGAAACCCTGGCAGATATAATGCTGGAAAATGAGCCCCTCAGGTTGAAAGGCACTCAAAGTGTGACTGGGGACGAGCTGCCTCCTCAAAGTCGAGTTGACCGTGATGACGCATATGGAATAAAGCCCATGGGAGTAACGCCCAAAAGACCTTCATTTGTTGATGGGGCACAACTCAAAACGTAGAGAAATAGCTGTAAATATCCATTAATAATCGGAATATGGAATGTAAAAAGTATGAATCTAGAAAAACTGGAAATTGTCAAAAATGAAATGGAACACATAAACATTGGTATCTTAGGCATTAGTGAGCTGAAATGGACTGGTATTGGCCATTTTGAAACTGACAACCACGTGGTTTACTATGCCAGGAATGACAAATTGAAGAGGAATGGTGTTGCATTCATTGTCAAAAAGAACATATCTAGATCAGTGATGAGGGTACAATGCTATCTGTGATAGGATAATATCCATGCACCTACAGCGAAGACCAGTTAATAACACTATTATTCATCTTTACGCACCAACCACTAAAGCCAGTGACAATGAAATAGACTTCTACCAATTTCTTCAATCTGAAATTGATCAAATATGCCATCAAGATGTATTGATCATTACTGGTGATCGGAATGCAAAGGTTGGAACAGAGAGGAAGGATCAGTAGTTGGAAAATATGGCCTTGATGATAGAAATGATGCTGTAGAATGCATGATAGAATTCTGCAAAACCAATGATTTGTTCATTTCAAATACCTTCTTTAGACAGCAAAAGAGATGACTACACACATGAACCTGACCAGATGGAATGCACAGAAATAAAATTGACAACATCTGAGAAAAAGATGAAGGAATTATTACCAATAATAATAATACTCTGTATTACCAGTCAAAACAAGGCCAGGGACACATTATGGAACAGATCATCAATTGCTCATAAGCAAATTCAAACTGAAGTTGAAGAAAATGAAAACAAGTCCATGAGAGCCAGAATATTACCTTGAATATATCTCACCTGAAGACAGAGGTTATCTGAAGAACAGATTTGATACACTGAACACTAGACAGAAGACCAGAAGAGTTGTGGGATGATATCAAGAACATCATACAGGAAGAAAACAAAAAGTCATTAAGAAGACAAGAAAGAAAGAAAAGATCAAAATGGATGTCAGAAGAGACACTGAAACTTGCTCTCCAGCGCAGAGATGGTAAAGCACATGGAAGCCACGAGAAGGCAAAAGAGCTGAACACAAAATTTCAAAGGTCAGCTTCATAAGACAAAGTCAAATATAACAACAAAATGTGCAAAGATCTGCAATCAGAAAACCAAAAAGGAAGAACATGCTCAGTATTTCTCAAGCTGGGGGGACTGAAGAAAGAATTCAAGCCTCAACTTTGATTATTGAAGGATTCTTTGGGCATATTATTGAATGATGCAGAAAGCATCAAAAGAAGATGCACCAAAAGGAAATGGTTGATGTTCAACCATTTCAAGACATAGCATATTATCAAGAGCCAATAATACTGAAGGAAGAAGTCCAAGGTGCATTGAAGGAATTGGCAAAGATCAATGCACTAGGAATTAGTGGCATAAAAATTGAAATCTTTCAAGAAAGTGAGGTAGTACTAGAGGCACTCACTAGTCTATGCCAAGAAATGTGGATGACAACTATCTGGCTGATTGATAGGAAGAGATCCATATTTGTGCCCATTCTAAAGAGAGGTGATCCAAAGGAATGCAGAAATCATCAGACGATATCTTTGATATCCTTTGCGAATAAAGTTTTACTAATGGTAATACAGAAACGGCTGCAAGCATACGTTGACAGAGAACTTCCAGAGGTTCAAGCCAGATTCAGAAGAGGATGTGGAACAAGGGATATCACTGCTGATGTCCGATGGATCTTGGCTGAAAGCAGAGAATATCAGAAAGATGTTTACCTGTGCTTTATTGACTACGCAAAGGCTTTCGATTGTGTGGATCATGACAAGCTATGGACAACACTGTGAAGTATGAGTGTTCTAGAATACTTAATTGTGCTCATTAGGAATCTGTACATGACCAAAGATGCAGTTGTTTGAACAGAACATGGGAACACTGAATGGTTTAAAATTAAAAAGATGTGCAACAGGGCTTATTCTTTCACCATACTTATTCAACCTGTATGCTTAACAAACAATCTGAGAAACTAGATTATATGAAGTAAAACGTGGCATCAGGATTGGAGAAAGACTCATAAACAACCTGCGATATGCAGATGATACAACCTGGCTTGCTGAAAGTGAAGAAGACTTAAAATATTTACTGATGAAGATCAAACAGCACAGTCTTTGGCATGGATTGCATCTCAATGTAAAGCAAACAAAAATCCTCACCACTGGACCAATAAACAGCATTCTTATTAACGGAGAAAAGATGGAAGTTGTTAAGGGCTTCATTTTTCATGGATCAGCTTTCAACACTCATGGAAGCAGCAGTCAAGAAATCAAATGACATACTGCATTAAGCAAATCTGCACAAGACCTGTTTAAAGTCTTGAAGAGCAATGATGTCAGCTTGAGGACTAAGGTGCTTGTGACCCAAGCCATGGTATTTTCAATATCCTCATATGCATGGGAAAGCTGGACAGTAAATAAAGAAGACTGTAAAAGAATCGATATTTTTGAGTTATGGTGTTGGAAGTGAATATTCAAAGTACCACGGACTTACAAAAGAACAAACAGATCTGTGTTGGAAGAAGTTCAGCCAGAGTGGAGGCTAGGATGGCCAAACTTTGTCCCTCATACTTTGGACATATTGTCAGGAGAGACCAGTCACTGGAGAAGGATATCATGTTTGGTAAGGTGGAGGGTCAGAGAAAAAGAGGAAGATCCCCAGCAAGATGGATTGGCAAAGTGGCAGCATCAATGGGCTCAAGTGTGGCAACAACTGTGAAGTTGTCCCAGGACCGGGCAGTGTTTTGTTCTGTTGCACACAGCATGGTTATGAGTCAGTACTGACTTGATATGGCTTAGCAACAACAACAACATGTATATTGCAGTCCTGGTGTGGTGCTGTGGGTTAATGCGCCAGACTACAAAGCCATTTGAACTGCAAGGTCGGCAGTTCAAACTCACCAGCTGTTTCTCGGAAACCCTATACACTATGGTCACTATGGGTCATAATTGACTCGAAGGCACTTAACAACAACAATCAATATTAAGTTTCCATGCATACCAAATCCACTGCCTTGGAGTCACTTCTGACTCCTAGGGATCCTATTATGACAGAGCAGAACTGTTCGACAGGATTTCCAAGCCTATGACTCTTTAAGGGTACAGAAAGTCTCCCCTCTCTCCCACAGAGTGATTGGTGGTCTCAAACTACTGACCTTTGGATTAGTAGAGCAACTCTTAACCTACAGGGTCACCAGGGCTCCTCCGGTTACTATGCGTAACCGTGTTGGATTCTGAATCTGGGTTTTCCTACTTCACTAATCTAGTTGTCTACTGCAGTTTTATTTAATGTAGCTTTATTACATGGTTTGCTGTCTGCTAGAGTTAGTACCAGGATTTCCAATTCAATCATGTCTGCCCAATA